TGTCGTTCGTGAGTTATAGCGTCGCAAGCATGGAGCAAAATAAAAAGAAAATACGGCATATTTTACAGTACTACTACGATAAAGGCAAAAATGCATCTCAAGCCGCCAATAAAATTTGTGCAGTCTATGGACCCGATACAGTTTCCATTTCCACCACACAACGATGGTTTCAACGTCTTCGTTCTAGTGTAGAGGTGGTCGAAGATGCGTCACGCTCCGGAAGGCCTGTCGTCGAAAATTGCTATAAAATCGCGGAATTGGTCGAAAGAGACTGGCATAGTAGCAGCCGTAGTATCGGTCAAGAGCTGGGCATGAGTCATCAAAAAAAATTTTATAAACAATTGAAATACCGCAAGACTTTTTTGACAACCTATATATGAATATAATTGATTATTAAGATGAGCTGAGTCGATTTAGCCATATCCGCCTATCCCTCCGTTTGTCTGTTCATACGTGAATTAGTCCTTCCATTTTTGCGATAATTGCGCGCGTCTTTTTCTCAACAGGAAGCTGTCAGAACCGCTGATATCATACAAACTGAAAGATAGGAATCAAGTTTTCATTTTTATTTGTTCATGGCATCAGCGAATTTAGACTGATTTTAAGGAATCTTTAATAAAGTGTAATCCATTTCGAGGTTCCCTACTTTTTTAAAGATAAAACACAGAAACTTCTAATTTAATGGGAAATGTATATTATTATTCGAAAGATCATTCGTTGGGATTAATTTTTTGAAGATTACCTCTTTCAAATGTTGCCGCGACTACGCCTCAGATGGTCCATGCGTTGAGTCCAAATTTCGATAAATCGAAGTGGGATTGTACAAATAGACTTTAGACTTTACATATATCCCCACAGGAAAAATTCTAACGGTGTGGTATCACACGATCTTTAAGGCCAATCGACCGGCCCAAAATTAATAATTCTCTGAATAATAATCTGAATAGTAATTTCTGGGAAGTCGTCTTGTTGAAACCAAATGTCTTTTTTGATTTCTCGAATTTCTCTCTTAAATAGCACATACTTTAATGGGAAAGACAATAAACTTTCCATAATTATATACAACGTTTATTTTTTTTTTCTATCCTGTCCGCCAATTAAGAAAAATCGTAAAAATTAAAATCCGAGAAATCGCGCGTCAAAGTTTTCGCTTATTGCCCAAGCGCAAGCTCGGTCGCTATTCCCCTTCTGGCTTCGAAAATATTTCGAATTCCCATCTATAACTTTGGGGACATATTCTTWTTTAAAGAGATTTAAGCAAAAAAAAAAAATCGATTGTTCTAAGCTTCTAAAGCAGGCTCTCCACTTAAGTCATCTATTAACAAATAAGGTTGGGGTAAGTTCGGGTGCAACCGAACATTTTATACTCTTGCAACTTGTAAGAATTAAAGTCAAGCAAATACCTTATGGTGTAAAACCTCAACCAGAGGATCAGAATCCAAGCAATTTTATATATGCATATACTATATATGTATGTACATAGAACTCATACACTGACAGGCACATAAGGTTTGTTAGAAAAACGAAAACCAATATGTGTAGTATAAGGCAGTTAGGGTAGTACCGACCAGATGTTATCTATTTTTCTCAATGCCACATACTAAAAAACCAATCTTATTGTGTAAAGTCAGCCGGATGTTCGAAAACCTTGAAAATTAGTAATACGGGATCTAAGTCAAGTTTTCCCTCAATTTTATTCATTTATTCATTCATTTTAGACCCTAAGATACTCTGTTATGAGAAAACATGTTATCTGTTTTCCATTGAGCTAACAAACATATTGGGCGATATATGCAGAACAAAGTCACCTCGAAGTTAGAAAATCTTTATATTAAGTATGTGGGAGCTAAGGGAAGTATTGGTCCATTTCTGACCTACAGACATACCAGTATAAGAGAAGGATTATCCCTTAATTTTAATTATATATATCACATAGTGACCGACATTATCGATCAAAAGTGGACTATAGGTACCGGAGTCTAAATATTACCTAGGCCTTAAACAGTTATTATTGGATTTAAACGATTTTTATGAGATTCATCAAAAAGTAGGCGGTGCCACGCCCAACGTAAAATTTTTTTATACCATCTCGGTGGTAAAATTTAATGACTCTGGCGCTTTTAGTAGTTTTTAACGGTTCCGTTGTGTTTATATGGGGAGTGAGCGGGGTTATCTTCTAATTTTATTACTTTTCACACTATCGGTATCACTTCTTATAATATCTGCACACAGCAAATTTCGTTGTTGTAGCTTCAGTAGTTTAGGAGATACATATATACATTAAACTTATTAGAGAGCGTGGCCACTCCCACTTTTTCAAAATTTTTTACACACAGGCAGTCCGTTGCCACTACGACAGCCTGTACAAAATTACAGTTATATAATATATCTTAATTTAGTGCTTAGTTATGACACTTGAAATTGTTTCGGTTAATGGTGATTTGTGGGCGTGGCAGTGGTCCGATGACGCCCATCTACGAACTCACATGTTTTTTTTACTAAGAAACCCACATACCAAGTTTCATCAAGATAWCTCAATTTTTACTCAGGTTGCAGCTTGCACGGACGGACGGGCGGACAGACAGACAGTCAACCGGATTTCAACTTTTCTCGTCACCCTAATCATTTATATATACAATACTCTATATCTATCGTGTTTAGTTTGTATTATACTCTGCAGCTGAAAAACTTCTAAGACATCCACACTTACATTGGAGTGTACCAATATTTTCTCTTGTTGCAGAAGCACCAATGGCAGCTTGAAGAATTCCGAGCGTAATCTGAAAGACAGTGTCGCCTATATTGAAGAGCAATTGCGAGAATCGGAGAGCACAATTGCCGGCATTAAAGCGCAGTTAGAGGAGAGCGAATGGAAAGTTTGCGAGCGCAATGGCGAGCTGGCGCTGCTCAAATCGCAGCTCAAAGAAGCGAATGTGAGTAAATTTTGCGCTAAAGCAAGCTTTGTAAATAAAATATTTTCTGTTACGACGATGAAACCAATATTATTTTATTATTATTATTATAATTAGTATATTCCKTATTAAAAATTCCCACTTTTCCCACTCACAGGTCGAAATCACGCTGAAGGAACACGCCATCGTGCATCTGCGACACGAGAACAACAACGCCGAAACGCAAATCTACGAAAGTCTGCAGGAGAACCAGAAAATGACGAAACAGCAGAAGCAAGTCGAACAGCAGCAGGCGCGCACCGACAAGCAAGCCGAAAGCGAATTGAAGCAGCTGAACAAAATCATCATACTCAAGGATCAAGTGATACTGGCGCTCACCAATGAATTGGCCAAGCTGCGCAAAGAACTCTCCGATCTGGCGATCTTTCAAGAGTACGGCGAGGAGCCCTCCGGACGCTTCATACGCCTGAAGCAGCAATTGGACAACCTAACAGACATTTGCAATCGCACGCGCCGGCAAGCGCACAAGCCGGAAATCACGGCGGTCAATGGCGCCAAGGAAAAGGTCATCGACGACACCAACCTGGAGTTGATAATGAATTGTCTGAAGATCGCGCCGCCACTCGACGACACCGACGAGAGTGAAAATGAACGCGAACGTGCGCAAAGCAAGCAACGCGCCGAGAAGCGTTTGGCCAAAATGTCCGCTGACATACAGAATTTCGTCTACGGCGCACAAAATCTGCCCGACATAGCGATGAATCATCATCAGACGCATAAACCGCTCAAATACACCCAATCCAATCCGAACAAGCTGGAGGAGTCGACGCTGGACACGCTGATCGAAGAGTCGGCAAGCTACGCAGAGGAAATTGCAAAGCTGCGCAAACAGCTGGACGATGTGCGCGTCAATTTCGAGCTGGAGAAGCGTCAGTGGTGCGAGGAGCGCGAAAAGGTGCTGAACTACCAAAAACAACTGCAAGCGCACTACATCAATATGTATCAGAAGCTGCGCAGCTTGGAGGGTACCAATGAGATTTAACCACCCCACCACCCAGCGCCGGGAAGGCAACAACGCTGCAGTAGCTTTTTTTTTAGAAACACACACATTCATTTCATTTGCTTATTTATATAGTAGAAGCCGTAGTTAATTTGTTAATTGCCCACACTGTATGCATATATAGTTTAATTATTATATTGTTATTGTAATTTTAAAAATGTCCACTAACATACCACACACACATATGTACACTATATGTATGTATGTATTTGAGCATATTTAATGCAAAATATTTATTGAAAATGTTATATGCACTCAAAGCAAGAAAAATAACACAATTGCGAAAAGTACTATAAAATAATAATTTATAACAGTACTCCATATATGTGCATATATCTTAAGCGCACACATATAAATAAACGTTAATTTTCATAAAAAACCATTTTTTTCATTCAAAATCACCGAAATCGCACGCTGTGCACGTTTTCATATGGTTGTTGTTGTTGTAGTGGCAATCGCATCGCGCGCAGCGCTAAAATTCCTACTGAAATTCGGCTGGTGCACCAGGCGACCATAACCGTGCAGCAGGTCGCCCTGGCAAATTGCACTTTTAACTTCCGCTCGCGCAGCGGAAGTGCATGCTTTCAGGCGTTTCGCTGGCACAGGGCGACACAACATTTATATGAGTTTCACTAACAGCCGCTAGAGGGCGCAACATAAACTCGCTGAAAATGGTGCAGGTGTCGCTGTGCATCATTTTTTTGGCTTCCGCGCCGCTTTTAGGCGCACTAATACTAATGCAGCACGCGCGCGCATCCGGCTGCAGGCAATTTGTGGCAAATTTGTACTGAAATTTGGCTGCTGCACCAGGCGCGCATAATGGAGCAGCAGGTCGCCCGACCAAATTGCACTTTTGTTTTCCGCTCTAGCAGCGGAAGTGCATGCTTTTAGGCGTTTCGGTGCCACAGAGTGCCACGAAGCGCATATTTCATTGAAATTTTGCCCTGTGCATGCCGACCATGGCAGTTTGGCCGCATTTGCATTGCTTTCAACATTTTTTTTTTTTTTTTTTTTTGAGATTTCGAATATTTCAAACAATACATTTTTATTGCTAAAATCTAAAAGTAGGTAAATACATATGTAAATATTAATATACGTAAGCTTGTACTAATAATAGAACATAATATGTTTGTTGCAATATATAAATGACTTCAAGCGCTTTTTCACGATGTGGCTCCATATTTTGTTGTTTTTTGTCAATGCTAACGCTCAGTCAGCAGCTGTGATGCATGAACTCCCTCTGAATTGGCTGTGAGTTGGTTGGGTTATACAAATTTTTTTGTTGAGTTAAAACACTTCATCGCATATACGTAAATACATACAATACATAAGTAAATCAATTTAACAACTTAAGCTGCATTAAAATTATGTGTTAAATTACTTTTTTAAAACAAAAAAAGAAAATTAATCAGTGATTATGCACTTTATAAATTAATGACGTAACAGATTCGTTAGCTCGAGCGCCAGCCAAATGGCTCATATAATATTACTTTTTTTTTCTTATCTTTGCTTTGCTCAAAAACCATTTTTTTCGCAAAAAAAAAACTGCAAATTTTATGTCTGCTGCTTTTCTAGAACTAATTTGAGAGTATCAAGCTAACTTTTAATGATGCTTTTTGTATAACTTGAGCGCTCTGCTTTTGAACCCCTTTTGGCAGTCGTAGGGAAGACAAGTTATTGCTAATGTGAAGGCGTCTAAATACGGGTGGTCATATATCGCAAAAATGTTTTCATTGCCGAAACGTCTTCATGTAGTCTGCTACATATACATACACATACTTGTCTGCTTTTGACGCTTAGAACGACGCACTTGCAAACGCACATTTTGCTTTACACTTAATAAGAACGCCTAAACTACGCGCTTCAAGCAAATTCCTCTACGTATGTCGCCGGAAAGATGCCCACGTGATTTCCCAGCGCGCCCAGCCACCAGCCGTCCTCCTGCTTGGCGTGCACCTCGATGATGTCGCCCGGCGTTAGCTCCAGCTCGTCATACAATTTCGGTGTATAACTGTACAAGGCTTTGCAACGGCTCAGTATAACGGGTGCGCTGCCATTCACGTTCGCATTACCGTTCATATTGCTTTGTCCGTTATGTAGCTCAGCCGCATTTTGGTAGATTGTAGGCGTCGTCGTCGTCGCCGCACCATTAGACATAGCCGTGGCCGTGCCGTTCGCCAACATTGTGCTCTTCTCTATAATCGCTTTGTGTTCTTTGCGTGCCGAACTGTTTGTGGTGGTCGTCTGCTCGTCGTCTTCGTCCTGCGAGCTGAATTCATCGAAATCGGAGTCCTGTTGATTTGAGCCGCCATCGGCTTGACCACGATCACTATACGGATCGTTGTCGATATGCGCCGGTATTGTCTTAGTCTTATCAATGCTGGCAATGCAAAGCTGTGTCTTGTTGCTGAGCGTCTCAATGTTGCTCTTGCTGCGACTGAACTTGCGTACAAGTATATCCTTGCTGAGATCGGTACAGCTGGCGTTGGATATATTCGCTGCTTGGTTGACGCATTCGTATTCGTTTTCTTGTACCGATGCGCTGTCGTCTTGACTCATGCGATCGTTGTTCTTTAGCCAGAGCGGCACTTTGAGTACGCTCTGTTGTAGGCCGGTGCGGTCGCGTGTAACCTGTTGGCACCGAAGGTAAAAAGTCGCAATTAAGGTGGTTATATAGATATTAGAGTGTGCAAATACCTGTATATGTTGTGCCAGTGGATGTGACGATCTCGGCTTGTGATCCAACTCCAATAGTGCTGAGTGCAATTTGAAGCGTGCACCCTCCAAATAGGTCAGCATCGATCGTATCTGCGAAGATAGCAATAGAAGAAGAGAGTTAATCAATATTTTAGACACTCTTACGATTTCCTTTAATTATAGGCGTGTGAAATATTTCAAATTCAAAACTTTTTTTTGGAAAAAAATATTGGCAATGAGAAATATTCGTTAGAGGAAGAGATCCTCAACCATTTGAGCTAATTTTTGGCATAATGCTCACTTAGCATAGACCACGTGCTTTCCGTCATAGTTCATTAATATACAGTATAAAGTCAATGCGATGGACTGCAGTCACCATATTGAATATATGGGCGTAAGGAGGAGTCCGAACCAAGTTTAGGAGAGAAGGTTTGAAGTCACACTTAAAGAAAATGGATGACGCAGGAGCATGCGACTCACTAGCGGAACTTACAACATCTATACAGACGACTCAAAAATGGCTGTTTGAAAGGGCGTCGGGTTCAATTGTGAGGAGCTCACTCTCAGGCGACCGACACAGTGCAGTATCTTCCAGACGGAAGTCAGAAAAGCGGACGAGATAGCTAACAACGGAGGAAAAGAACATTAAGATCCCAATTGCCGCGATAGTGCTGTTTTTCGACGATTTAATCCCGTTTGGATCCGTGAATATTAATTTATCATAAAAATCAATACAAAAGTCGATAGCCAGGCGGTAATAAAGGCAATAATGACAATAATTTCACATCGCATTACGTTAGAAAATGCCATTAGAAGCAGAGCGGCAGTAGATGGCTGCCCGAAAGCGGCTGCATATATACTGGGTTCCAGGCTACAAAGTCGCTCAGGGAAAGGTATACTGATGAGATTACCAAAAGTGTCATTCATCCGTCTGACTAACGAACCAGTACAGGAGATACTCTCGCTCACTAAGAACGATTTACAACAAAATTTTCGAAAAGGCTGGCAGACGAATCGAGGTGAGATGAAACGTCGTTAGGACATGCAAGATCGTCAAGAACATGTGAAAGGGAACGGAAGGAAAACACATAAACTTTCTACTCACACGTTCTCGAAAGGATTGCAGGTTGTTGGGCACAAGTTACAACCTACTGGCATCACATGCGAACCGAATGCTCATAAGTAACGACGATATATACAGAAAGTGCAGAGAAGTAAGAATGAGATAGACGCTGGAGCCTCTGCTTCTGTCTGGCCTTATCTAGAGCTTGCCTTAAATATCGAGCAGCTTCGCAGTTCAAGGGAGATAGATGGAGTATAAAAATTAGTTACAAGCTCCACAAACGAATCCGAATTTAATCCGGCCAGAAGACAGACAACTCAAAAAACAAATTTTACTCCTAGCCCTGAGCCCTTTGTCAACGAATATTGCAAAATAGTAAACGAACTGGATAATTAAGTGGAATTCCTCTCTAGTTGATATATGAGAATGTCTAAAGGTTTGCGGTTCTAACTTCACCGACGAATTTCAGTCAAACCCTTATAAGAAAATTCCAAATGAAGACTTTTGAGAAAAGTTAAATAAACAGAAAGCGAGCGCTAATCTATGCCAACTTACGTGATACAATTTGTCGGTGATATTTTGATTATCTTGGTTGTTCAATGACTGGGAAAGTCCCTTTAGTCCATTACGCGAGCGTCGCTCACGCTCCAAATCCGCTTTGACCAACTGCAGCAGCTTGATGAGCGCATGCTTGCGTCGCTCCCGATTCATAGCCAAAGTGGTGTGTTCACAATAGAAGTCCGGCAGCAATTGCTCGCTGGGACCCTCCGAATTACGACGTATATTCTTAACCACCTGCATATCTTTCAGCACATTGCAGGCGTCGACTTGCGGCTGCAGACGTTGCATTAGACCATCCAAAATGGGATTCATATTTGATGTGAGACGCGAGTAATTCGCAATGAAGTTTTTCATGCTAACCAACCGTTGATTTTCGATATTCTGCAGCAGTGAGGAGCCGCGCAACACAGCCATCTCCCAATCGACGCGTGCGCGTTCGGCGCGTATGCAGAGCGTATAGTATTCGACATCGGCACGCTTGACAGCCTCCTCGGCCTTCTTACGTTTGCTATCCAATTTGGCGCAATCTTTCTCAGCCGATCTGATTTCCTTTTCAGCAGCAAGCTTATTGGGACCTTGATGTAGCAGCGCAATGGATGGTGATTTCTGTATTCGTACATCGAGTAAGGCATCCTGTAGCTTCTCATTTTCGCGTGCAGCTGTGTGTGACGATTTCTTGGCTTTAGACTCGCTGACACGCCACTCGGCTAGTGTGCGCGCGGCCTTGTCCACGTTGCTCTCAACCTTTTAGGGTGAAAAATGTGGTGAGAGAAAGTTTAGTTAGTAAAATGTTTAGAAGCCTAAAAGTGATTCATTACTCTTACTCACCGACTTTCTGGTTTTGTGATGTGCATCGATTATATTCTTGAGTGGTTTGACAATTTCATCTGTGAGTGAAGCCGACAGCTGGCGATGGATGTCGCTGCGATTCTCCATTTCGGTAGCAACACCACGCCAAGCATCGGCTATGCTGCCGGGCAGTTCACGACAGGCTTTGTTCAATTTGTTGGCCATTTTCGAGAGAGATTTCGAGTATAATGTCTCAGACTCAACTCTGTGAGAGCAAAGTTCGTGTTATTTTTGTTTGTACGAAAATAAAATATGTGTTCTTTACCTTTCTTGTAGTATCATTACCAGCTCCTTACCGAAGTCGCCACCTTGTTTTACATAGCGTCGCAATTCTTCGAAGCCATTTTGGCCCTGAAAATATGATGGAAGCAACAACAAATTTAAATATTTGCAAATATTGTGAGGGTGGAAAAAATGTTTATAATTAAAATCACTTGGAAACCACAATTCAAAATTTGTGTTATAAAATTTAGGTCGTAAGCGCTATAAATCCTTAATAAAAATCCTCGAAAACACACAAATATTAACTAGCAGTTTCTATAAATGAATCCTTTGAGTGTTACCGATAGGTTTGCCCGTTTGAAAACCCCCTAAAAGATTTAGACCTCAGCACTCTACTTACCTCAAATAATTTCGCGACCGTTGGTGTCTCATCAGCTGGTCGTTGCGTAAACGATGACTCCAAATCCTCCTCATTTTCAGCATTACCACCGCCGCTTACATCTCCAGCACCACTACCATCCACCAAATCATCAGTACTCACGCCGAAAGCGGAGTTTGGACTGGTTACGGTGCTTGCCGTGGCGCCTTGCGACTGCTGCAGATTGATACTAACAACACTTGTGTCGCTGTCGCGCAGCGCAGGCATCCCCACCCGACTATCACCGCCACGCAGCAGCACACTACCATGCACGGACGGCGAGTGACGACACTCGGAGTTGTTGAGACTGAGCTTAGAGGTGGCGACGCGTTGCAAATTAGCCTGCTTCTGCACCACTTCCTTCAGCTTGGTGCTCTCCTCACCAATCCAGTGCTTAACGTCATGCCAACCTTTCCTAAGCTTCTCTTTATTATTATTGAAACTTATAAGGCGCGAGTTTTTATTCTTTAAAAGCGTAATACGACGTTCGCTGGGCTTGAGGTTGTCACGGTGTAGACAGTATTCCAAATCGATGTCATCATTGAACTCCTCGGACTCGTTAATTTGGCGCGTGATCTCGTTAAGTTCATCGATGGAGACGAATAGATTTTGCGCATTCAAACTTTGACAACTCACCGACTTCAAATCGAACTCTTCAATGGTGCTAGCGTGACTCGTCAGACTATTCTTCGAGCCATGCTGATTGATCGAAGCGTTGCTGGAGAAGACAACACTGCGACGCTTGCCACCGTTCGTGTGGCGCATGTCCAACGAATCGACGCTCTTGAAGTGCAGCTGTTGCGAGAGGTAGCCACAAACCTTTTGCTCCGCGCACATTGGTGTATTCGGATCACTTTTGCATTGTGGTGGTGACAACTCCACCGATGGCGAGGAGTTTTCCTTATCGGCGTCATTGCCCTCATAATCGCTGGGCGCTAGGCTACACTTGCTAACACCGAAGAGCTCGGGTAAACGCGGTAAGTCACGACAGTTTTCGAGATCTGCTGTAGTTAAGCTCATATCCAAGGTCATGGATGGCGTCTTTTCGAGAAAGATCTTCATCTCTGCGCGGTGTAGATTCTGCGCCGATTTCGAGTGTTGACGGCGTCGCAACTTGGGTGGTGGCGTCGGTATGCGCGGCTTAGGTGGCGATAACACCTTTTCGCTGGCAGTCGCAGCCAGAGTGCGTTGTTCCACACTACTTGCAGGCGATTCGACCGAAGTGGATGACACATTTTGCGTGTTCATCTCTGGCACAGGAAATATCGGTAATTTCAATAGAAGACGCGCATTGAGATCAGCAAGTGGATCTGCAGGCTCGGTTGCATGTTTTGGTGTGCCCGCCGATGCTAGTTCGTAGCGCTCCTCCTCCTCAACACCAGCCGGTTCAGCTGGCTCATCCACGACTGGCGGCGTGCTCAAAGCATCAGCATACACCTCCGTCTCGCTACCTGATGATGGCATTTGCGGTGAAGAATGTATGTTGATCGTACGCACCATGGTGCTGGTTGCCGCTATGCCGCCACCAATCTGCCGCAGACGTTCCTCACTCACATCAAAGCGATCCGCATCCAGTGTCGTTGTTGATATCAGCACTGGTGCACCGATTTCCAAGCGATGATCATCCGAATGCGCACCGGTCATATCGTAACTGCCCGAGGCGACTTTCTGCGGTGAACTGCCTTTGCGGCCCGCATGATGTCGCCGTGTAATGCGATGGCTGAGCGTCGAGTAACGCTTCGTTAGTTTGTTGAGCAGACTGCTCGTTGGCAGTAAACCGCTCACATTGTTGTTACTGCCGCCATTGTTATTCTCATTGTTGATGTTGTTGTTGTTATTGCTATTTTCCGCATTTACTTTGAATTTTTGCGTGCGTAAACGATTCATTTTGTGCAACTCTTAACAAAAGCGCTGCTGCTCCTAATACACATTAATACCCGTGCGCGGATTAAAATGTCCACTTTGGTCGTGTTGTTGTCACCGGGAGGGTTGCGCTCATTAACCTTAGGAATTGACGTTAGTTATAAAAAATTGTATATTTTTGTTTTTCGAAATTTTTTTTTTTTTTTGTTATTTTTAGTGTGAACGATGTGCAGAAAGTTTGGAGCGGAAAGCAAAGTACTATTTGTAGACTGTGCTGCCTTTGAAACTCTGAGTTTTGTGTTTACGAAAGTATTTAGTCAAAATAAATTACTTAAGTCGGTTAAATACAAAATGTAAGTTAGTAATTGATAACAACAAAATGCTGATAACTCAAATTTATTTTTTGAGCCATGCGGTTATTGATGTAACCAACGAAATCCCAGTAATTAGTTCTTGATTATTATGATATTAGATATTTTCGTTATCTATAAAGGAACCCTACCAAAAATGCAAGGGTAAAGTTTTGGTAACACAATAAGTTATGTTTTAGAAAGTAAGTCTTGTTAAATATTAACTTTCTTTAACTTTCTGTTCTAGATCCTCGAGTGTTTTGCTACTCGAAGGGTAAATCCATAAATATACTACTACTAATCACTGTCCAAAACCTAGAAATATAAGCCAAATGGTTTGCAGATATATGGTTCACCCGATATTAACGTGTAAAAAATTTCCCACAAGTTGTAGTGTTTTCAACTAAGTGCGGCTTTTCGTAGGGAAGATAATTATTGCTTGAAAGTTAAAAGTGAAAAACAAAATTTGCTACAAATTGTAAGCACATTTTTTTATCCATTATTTGTAGTAACTCTGCAAAAGGAATAAACTTCGGTTTAGTCTTAAACTCGTCTCGAAACGATGTTTCCATTCATAATTGTTGTGAAAAATCTCCTCCGATTAATGTCTCAACAAAGGCTTGGAAATAAATATGGTAATTTATTCTTCACGCATAGATTTGATAAGGAAAAACTAAGGTAATGCAAATATTTCAATATATTTAATAGAATGTCATAAATATCTTTTTCTTTTCTCAGAAATAATAAATTCTTTGCTTTTAACTTAAATGTAGAGAAAAAGATTTCATAATGAAGCTTTAGATAAGGCAACCTTCCAAGCGTGGGGCTTTTTTCACAAGTTATAAAATCTCTTCAAAGCGATTCCATGTGACAATCCAACAAGTTTTGATGTTTCATACCAATAATTGTACAATAATAAATACATATGTACATATATATATATATATATACGACTAAGAGCCTTTTTGGCAACCTGATATATATAAGACTCATTGTGACAAATTTAAATCAATGATTTTCCAATACCAATAATAAAGAGTGCCTAGATTCTGAATAGTGTGTACGCCGCCCCAGGAAATTATAATGTTTGACAAAAAAAATGAAACTAAAGAGAAAAGCTCTATCCAATACTTAGATAGCTGGAAAAGTAAAATGATATTATTACTTTAAAGAGATGAAAAACTTAGTTCCTCTGAAGTCATCGCATTTTAGTAAATGTTGATACCACAAAGGCAAAGACTCGAAATGAAAGCCTTCAATAGTATGAACGGCTTTTATATTTCGGAATTTGACAATATTCGCAATCTAAAATGAACTGCAATTTTTCAATAGTTCAAAAAAAAAAAAAAACCAGGCTCACGTCGATTGATTTAGAGCAAATTATTAAAAATATGATAGCGGTGCTTCGAAACATGTCTGTGAAGTCGTGATAGATGGTGAATCGTAGATTTAAGTGTATGAGCGTAAAAGTAAGTAGCAGTCGCAGGTGCTTCAAAAGGAGCCGAATCCAACGTTCGTACACGAAGCACTTCCAAGCAAAAGTTTGCCTGTTTTTTGGAAAAATTTGGCATGTCGCAACCATACCAATTCAAATTTGTTTCAAAAAACCAGGAAAAACTACCGCCGAAGGCGGATCGCCCTTCACACTGACACAACTTCATTTATGAGTACCTAAAATATCGATTTGATGAGTCGTTCTCCGTATAGTTCTGACTTGGCACCGAATGATTCCTTTTTTCCCGTTCATCAAAAATAAAGTAAGAGGTCAAAAGTGCTTCGACAATTGGTTTAAACGCTTGCGATAGTGTTTAGATCTTAATGGAGAATATTTTGAAAAACAATTAAACAACTTTCCAATACAAAAGGCATGATGTCTGGTCAGCCAAGACTTTCGAGACTTTTCATATATTTAAAAAGCTTTTCGTGTGAAAAAAAGTTTGATCAAGCATGGGAACGCGTAAGATTTTACTTTATATCTGCACATATTACAACTCCCTTGAAGGAGATGTGACAGCTCATATGCTTGCTTGATTGCACATTTGGTATCTAACCAGGTTTTTGACCTTGACGGTACTGACCAAATAATTTAATATTGCACAAGTTATCAGAAATATTTTTTCATAATTAAAAATTTTATAATTATTCTTAGAAGAATGAAATTAATAAAACAATAAATAGTCAAGTGTCTAGATTCTAACAAATTTTCTGAAGAATATTTTCAAAACGCAGTGTTTCTAAGATCACTGAAATTGAAAATACCGAAATCTACCAATGTTTCCCAATGAAAGCCTCCAACAGATAGTACTCGTATGTGCTTGAATTAGTACATATTTACGAATCTGCGATTTTTATTCGTGGGAGGGTTAACCAAATATGAGTATGTCCGTATGTAGATATTAAGAGCAAATTCATTCGCAACAGAAGTGTCTCATACTAATAAAAAAATTATTGGCAGAATGTTTGCAGAAATATAAAAGTACACATTTTTGATTTTATAACGCCATTAAAATTTGTGGAATTATAGGAAATTTTAAGACTATTGCATATGTCATAGATGGTTTTATAGGTTATATGTGACTGAAGTGCTTTTGGAAACTGTAAGACGTTATTAGCAAACTCCAGGCTATATTGTTTGTATTTTGTTTGTATTGGTTTATGAGATATAACATTTTGGATAAAGCAAATATTGGTATTACAAAAGTTTGGATAAAAATAAGCATCGATGAAAATTTGGTGTTAATGAAAGACTATTTTTGTGAAAAAAAAACTTCTATTGATATGAAAAAGTGTCAGAATATGGTAGAAACCTCATAAGCATAAAAAAGATTCCTTACATCCTCTTGTATGGCGCTAGCTGATGCCCGATGTCGACGGTTCCAACAAAACGCAACCTATTGAGGAGTAGAGAAGTTCAGATCGATATCTTAAAAACTGAAAGACTAGGTCGTTTAGAGAGTGAAAATTCCAAATTATGATTATTTCCTTGTGAAAATCTATGAAATATTAAGTTCGAGAAGATAAATCAAATCGGAGTGTGTTACACAATACACAAATACATGCATAAGTCGAAATGAATCGAAATGAATTTGTAAGAAATTAGCATGCTTTTTAAAATGACCATGCTGCAAACAATCTTTCAAGCTTTTTTTATTTTCAACAAAGACATACCTCGAATTCTTCGACGGAGCCCACAAATGCTGACGCTTTTCACTTTGAACGAAAAGAAATTCTTAGCATTTCGCGCTTCAAAAAACTAAGCCAAATTCACTTTGTTGGAAACCTTATCGGAAATATGCAAATAATTCCAATTCTTTCACCTTCCCTTCAGCTGCCGTGACACACTTCTGTAGCACATACGTAAATGTTTGTGTATGTGTGTATGTCACATGCACAATAGGCGACTGCTCTCAATCACCTTCGACCCAGCGCATTCCTCACTCAACACCCAACTGACCGCCGCTACCGCTGCCCCCAGACACTTGGTGAGCAAATCGCTCTAAAAACTTTAACTAAAATCGTTTATGTTGTTATGGCTGCTGCTGTTGTTGTTTGTAGCTTGTGCAGGTGATTGAAGAAGAACAGACAACAGGTGAACAATTCAATTGTCAACAAGAAGCCAACTGTTAGCAGTGAGAAATGCAAATTTGTTGCATTGTTGTTAGCAGCGACGTTGTGATTCTTGCTGTTGTAGCATTTGCACCGTTTTGGTGGCATTTCAACTTTTTCTGTTGACTGCGGTAATGCATTAGGTCAGTTCTTTGTGGACACAGCGAGCATGACAACAACAACTCACAGTTTGTTTTTGTTTCTTAATCTTTTTGTGTTTGTTTTCTGTTTTATTTGCCTTATTTAAGGCCACTTGTTTTTTCCAAAGATACCGTTATATGGTAAACAGTAAGTCCACTTCACTGGTTGCAGTTGGTCAACACTTTTTATTGCCAGCTTTTTCTATTAGTTTTGCGATCAAATCACAAAAAGAAGCAACGAATTAACATTACTATTGTTTTTGCTGTCTTCTTATACCCTGTACTGCGTATATTAAGTTTGCGACGAAGTATGTAACACCCAGAAAGTAATACCCGGGAATCTATAAAATATATCTATAAATGCTCAGCGTGACGAGGTGAGTCAGTTTAGCCATGTCTGCGAGTCTATTATCTCCCTAAGTTTTTGAGATATCGATCTGAAATTTTGCACACGCACTTTTCTCCATATAAAGCTGTTCATTTGTCGGCAACGCCGTTATCGGACCACTATAACATATTGCTGCCATACAAACTGACCGATCAAAACCAAGTCCTCGTATGGAAAAGTATTTCATCTAACGAGATAACTTCGCGAAATTCGGTATATATTTTCTTACAAGGCAACACTATAATCTCCGAAATGATCAATCAAAATCCAGTTTCTTGAATCGAAATTAAGGTTTTATCTTGTTTTTTCTCATTACTTTAAATTTCGCTTTGCTATAATATTGTTATTTATCCATCAATATGTTGTAGGTATAGGCGCTTAATATAATATGTAGCCAGTTATTTGGTTGATTGAAGATTCTTCGTTTTATTGCTTTGTTTTGTTCTGTGGTTTATTTGATTTTTGTTTTTGTACCGTTTTCTGCACCATTTGCTTACCGGTATTTAACCTGGAAAATTTTCACCCTTTTTCAACCATTTTCACTTACTGGTCTGGGCTTAAGTTGCTTGAAAAAAAGCGGTTAGAGCTCTACCACACTTATATATGCACGTTTGTGTGTGTATATGTGTGCGTGTACATAAATCTTCTTTCACTTTATTGCCATTAGCACAAGGTAACGCACCCATTGGTCAGGCTTATCTTGTACATTTAAGTGACATACACTAAATCACTACCATTAATCCATTAATTTAATTTGTGGAAACCTTATAAATTGACTTTAAAAATAAATGTGTGTGTACATGTTGATTTATTGGCTATGCAATGAAGCATTTCAAATCGTGAAAACAATTAGATTAGTTCTTAATTTGTAATAAAAATGGTTTTCAAAAGCTTTTGTAGTCAATTAAAGGTCGGTTGAATGGTTCTAAAGCTCGATTAACCTGTTTAGGAGAAAGGTACACAAAAAGATTGATTCAAGATTAAGAAAGTACTTCAAATCCTATAAAAATCAGGACCTAGACCGAAAATTTCTCTCTCCTTTGATCTTAAAAACCTATATAGAGACTTAGTTTATGCACTCTATGGGGAAAAATGCTTTGAAACTAAACTAACGTATGATCCAAGCAATCCGAACCATCTATGAAAAAGTATCATGATACAAGACAACTTAAGAAAGTAATGGAAGAATTGTTTCGTTTCTTGATTTTTTTATAAACAGAAAATATTTCTCAAACGATTTTGATGAAAGCTGCTATATAGACAGACCTTAGTAAGATATAAATAAGAAATCGTTCCGGTTATCTACTATCGGTACTCGAAATGAAACGGCAGAGAATAACAGAACCTAGAATTGATTTATTTTAGTGGCCATTTCATGCATTAAAACATTTTATCCGATTTCGTTGCCATAATAAATTTTATCTCAAAACGACAATGAAAAGAATTTGAAACTAAGTTCTAATCAATCTACTTTAAAATTTCATTTTTTTTTTGATTAAAAAAAACATTAACAAAATTTTACCAAAAATAAATTTAATTGATTCTCTAGATAAACTAAAGCTACTTTCGTTTCGATTAAGTATAAAAATAAATAAACAACTTTAAGCCTTCAAAATGGCATTTCATAAAGACTTATTTTAATTTTTTTCAGAACAACAAACTAAAGAGAAAAACTAAAAGATAATAAAGAAACTCTATTTTAAGATTCCTCTCTGAATCAGTCTTTGAGTTGAGCATAAATATATTAAAGTGCTTTAACGCTTCGACTTGTCCTCGTTGTCGTCTAACTACATAGGAACATACAATCAGTGCAACACACCGATAACACACTAACACCATAATTTCACTTTTTCCAATCAATGAAATTGCAGCTCGACCATGGAGCCATTTAATGGTACTGTTTTTAGAGCAACTTATGAGAATACCCTGTAGAAAATAACAAAGGATTTTTCAATAGGGCACTACAAAGATGGACCGATAAGGATATTTTTTCGTGCTCTTTTGACATTTCTCTTGAGTATGGTTTGCCATTTCATCGTGGAAAAATATACAATCCAACAACCAGTCGAAATTATTAAAATTTACTACCGAAATTCGAAGTCAATGGTCTCAACTTTAAAAGCTATTAAAGCTTACATAAAAATGACATGAAAGCGCTTTAAAAATAAACAATTTTTTTTAGAAAAAGAAACTGAAATTTCATACATCATAACTCGAAGTCTCCTTTTTTTTTTTGTTTTGATTTGAGTTAGGAAAGTTTAACTGTGTAGAAACGACTGATCAACTTGATCGAAAAAACCAACCTTCTTAGATACATTTATCAGATAATTATCAAACTCTCGTTGATCAATACCAAAAGCTCCGTCAGGCGCGTTAAGAACCTTTCCGAACCGTTCGATACCAAACGAGGTTTCAAACCAGGTGACTCCGTATTGTGTGACGAACCTAAGACCAAACTCTAATTATTCCCGTCCTGCCGTCCTGCGATATGATGGCATGGACGATGGTCTTTTGCGCGTTTGCCACGGCGAATACCGCAGTCGATGGAACGGTGAACTGTTCGAGTTATACGACGACATTGATAGCGAATTAAGAGACAGCAGCTACGCTGGCAAAGTGATGTCGTTCGAATAATAACAAATTTCAGCTCTGAGGGTAGCCGTAGTACCCGTCGGAGGAAGCAGAGGAAGACATGTATAATTTTTAACTAAAGTTCCATTTCCAAAAATTATTAAAAAAAAAACTAATTATTAAAGCTTTGGTTTTAAAGACTTAAAGAGAGAAGAAAGACTTCACACTGAAAATCAATTTGTTTCCAAATCAATAGGATTACTAAATTTTCATTATAATGCAAGGCACATAATTAATTTTCTAAAAAAGATATACCTAAATAAATTTTATATAAATTATTTAAGATCATTACTTCACAATTTCTAGACGGAAAGATTTCAGTTCATCATACGAACGAAATTTTTCCTCAAGGGCACGCAGCTACCAAGTATGTCTATTCACAATTGTATGAGCGTCTGTATATGCCACATACTAGTAAAAATAAATGCACTATCGGCATAATAAGCGCTGGTATTGCGGCAAATAAACTTAAATTATGTTGTGCATATTTTTAGTAGAAAATAAAGTAAAATGCATAAAAACTATGAAATGCCAAAGCGACGAGCAGAGCATCCGATCAAAATGAAGCAATCGCAATGAAATTACCCGCCGGCGACCAAGCAAACTACGTAAGTTAAGTACTTAACTGCTAAACTATACTAAAGAGGACAAAAGTTCAAGCATAGAGCAGAAATGCAATCGAAGGTCGATCGAACGGCAATTACTAAGAGATGCACACACATATATATGCATACATACATACATACATATATGTATAGAACTATAGAAATATGATAAAGTGGCAGAATCTTTTATTCAAGCATATATTTTAATGATTTTTTAAAAGAAGGATACAGCAGAAGAATCAAATATATATATACATATATACCAAGAGATGCATAGAGGACTTCATGGAGGTTTAATCGCAGAATATGCAACATCTGCAGACACTTGAAAGTTGCAAGCCTTCAAGTGCTGGCAAACACATATTTATGTACAAACATACTTATCGACATACTTCCTCAATTCAAGATAAACTTGTGATAACGTCGCAAAATTATGACTATGCGTTGCAATAAAATTAACCATTTCTCGTAAGAAAAAAAAGCAAACGCAAAATAATTGTATACATTGCAGACAAAAGCAACTCCCACTTCAATTACCAGCAAATACACTTGCACTTGTGCAACAATGTTGCCAGGCTGCAGTGCTGCAATGTAGCTGTGGTGCGAGTTGTGCGGCGTGTTTGCATGCTAATTGCATACTTCATGGCGGTTGTCCTTTGTGCGCTATATGAGCAACAAAAAAACCGGCTGTAGAATGGGTGTAAAGGCAATTGGACACACAAGTGGACAGCTAGAATCGTGATAGTCTGTATAAGGTGCTGCATGAGCAAGAAGTAAAAGCAGGAAAACTAAAGTAAAGGAAAGCAACATTTAATTATACGAACATAACAGCACGACGGCAAGAAAATAAACATCAAGGTGAGTAACTTTATTGGAAATGAAAAGGAAAAAGAAATATTAGGGACCAGCAGCTGTAAATGCTAAGACGTCAATTGTCAAGAGGATTATATTTACATCCTCTTGAAATTTTTTGGCCTGTTTTTTAGTTGAAAAGAAGTTACAAAATTTCGTTCAAAAAAATTGTGCACACCCTAATATACATATGTATGTATATATGTTTGCATAACTATGTGGCAATCTTATGCGCTTCATAAGCTAGCTATTGCAATGGAGCTGATGTGTGGAAAAGCGTTCTTAAGAAGTCAAGTGGCTTATATTGTAAAACACCAAGAGGTTAGATGGCTGGTTTTGCCGCGCTAAGGACACGCATACATTAGGTAATAGGTGAGCCACCGAGTGGGTGCTGCAAAGGATGAATAGGCAATAAATGTTACAGTGTGAATGTGGATTAATGCGAATTCTTGAACTTTGAATAAAGAAGGCAATGTCGGCGTTATTATTTAGAAGGTGTTAAGGCGACCAAGATTGGAGTTTGGAGAAGATATTAAGAGATGAAAAATAATTGAAAGCATGGTTGTTTATATTATGTTACAGTGTTCTGGCGCTTGGAGTTCATGATCGAATAGGAAAAAGGAGTCGTTCTCTTCAAGGATAAGGAGACAAAAATGGATGATATTTATACAAAGTGATTACTATGCTACGCAAACCGAACACACATTCATTTTATTGAGTGTTGGATATAATTTGCTAAAAATTTAAAAAAAAAAAAAAGTCAACCGTTCAATAAAATCGTTACTAAACAAAGGTCATGTGGCTGTAAGCACACCTAAATCAATGGAATATGACCTGTTGTATTAATAAAAGTACTTCAACAATAGCATTCTTTCAACCTGCAATGTCTTTCACAATAACCAACAATTTATATGACAGAAGAAGAGACGTGGGTATATGTAAATAAGTACTCGTTTCAAAAATTTCTATTATTCGAAAAAATC